TGGCGAGTTCGCTGGTGGCGAGTCTGCTTGGTGGCGAGGTGACTGGATACCCTTAAAAAGTTATCATACTGATAATTACTGTAAACTGAAATGTCTACGGTCACCTCAAAAATGTGGGTTTCAATACTAGTCTTCACCTACGCAACACCCCCGGAATTACAGTGGCAAGTGAAAAAAAACTGACTCGCTTATCAAACCGTAACAAATTACAACACTACTAAACTGTCAATCCACGATGGCGCACGACGTCTATGATATTTCACATAGGATAGATTGACTTTTTTACCAGTGAAACAAAACTTAACGAATGCAGTACATTTAATAAGTGCGATTTTTGTGCGAGTTTGTCAATTCTGTAGTACATTAAGTATGTGCTATTTCAATTCTAGATGAGTCCATGACCATAACAATATTTTTGTCGCCAATATGCATAAATCACAAATTTCATTACCGGGAAGCCTAACTTGATGGCCAAAGTATTTAATTGAGCCCCATCGTTTGACGGTAAACATGTCTTTCGCGTATCAAGAGATTTTTCACGGAATGGAGTCGGTTTAAATACGGAAAACGTTTTCACCCACGTCCTAGAGATAAGAGGACAAAACTTGAGGCAGATTCAACGATAACGCATAAAAGCTGCAACTTAAAATATCCAAATACTACAAACGAAAGATAAACGGCAAAAAGGAAAGAATGACACAAAGATAGATGAGCTATGAGGGAGCAACCATACATCCGAAATCTCTGACAACAAATATTTGAACATCACTAACTATTAGTAATGTTCAAACATTTTGAAGCTACTGTCAAAGAAAAAGTATGCAAATAATTTTTGGTTGCAGCTTATGATTTTGAATAGTCTCATTATTCAAAATGTCGCCTTAGAGTAACGGTAAGTGGTTTCACAACTATAAGGTGAAACTAAAAATTAAAGAGATGTATTGTAATTATCTGAGATCAAGAGGATGCTTTTTCCAGTGCGTTTTTTATATTTTTTCATATACTCTAAGAGCCGACCCTAAGCCGAATAACTCAGCGTGAAGCTGAATAGACGGTAATGGCTTCAATGAAAAATATAGTCTGCTTCGGT